GCAAAGAGGTATGCAACCAATCACCTCCTGGATTTAAGAGAGAACGGCCCATGGAGATTCATACACCATCCTACACTGGGTCTACATGCATGAACTGCCACTGTCATCAGAAAACACTGAACAACATAGAAAAGCTGACCTGCCTACGACACGCTGGACAAGGCTAAAACCTGCCCAGGGACAGACTCATGAGCCAACAAGGCATTCTTGGCAGGTAAATCATATTGGGGCCTCTTATCCTATACAGAGGCTTCCACTGGATCTTGAATGAACTCTTCACACTCTATATGACTCCCAAGCCATAGGAGCAATTGAGCACTTCAATGGACAGGCTTAAATGGCTGATGGGAGGGGACAAGACAACCCCAGCTGAACTATACATTTCAGGCAAGCAGTCTGGGGTCTTAGTGCAGCAGTTCCTTGCAAGGGCATTTCTCATTTGCGCTGTGTTTGATCAAATTGTCTCTTCTGTACAATATGTTTCTTTTCTATAAAACTATTCCTGACAAAAGATCTGGGTAGTCACAGAGGTCACTGCCTCAAGACTAGGACAGACAGCCTGGGTGGCTATACCTGGGCAACTCTCACCTCAAGTCCCACAGGATATAGGGGAGAGGAGGGGGAATCATTATTGTCTCTTTTTCTTCCCAGATTATCTCACAATGATGGACAGGCCCCTCATCTATGAACCGCAATGATACAGGCTTTTGCTAGAGCTACCAATCAAATCAACTCTTGGCCCTGTCAACATCTGAACTGAGATGACGAGCCATCTCCCCACATTATTCCAGCTGATTTGTAAAAGGAGGATACCTCGTGGACCAGCTGAATGTGTAACCTGGTGTATGAGGAGATCATGTGGTAAAAGAATATGGCTGACTCCACTACTCATGGAAAACATCTTTTGAAGTATGAAAGTTGCCTGTGGGGAGTGCTCCAACTTTAGAAAGAAATTTTTCTGTGTGTTAAAAATGTAAATGGCACATTACTGGATGGTAATACCTTGTTCAAGTGTGTTGAGAAAGGGAGATTTTGTATTACTTGTATTGAAACATGTGCTGTTCATATAATGTATCATGTTGGGAGAAATATGCTGTTCTTACACAAATGAATCAAGACATGTTATACATACATAAGATTGGACAAATGCAGCCCTTTGATCTATTCAGTTGGCTTGGATTAAGCCACATCTGGGATGGCTAGTTGGGATCTCTCCTCCAAGCAGGCCTGATCAATCTGCTGGGGACAGACCTACTAGTAACCCTCACTAAATGCTGCCTCAAATGATGCACATATATAACATCCACCAGAGTTATGCACCAAACCATAGACATGCAGCTCAACATCTGAAACTGGTGATGGACATACCAGGACTTGGTACTGCTATGCTTTTTTTTTCTGGCATTCTGATGAGAGCCAGAGGGTAGACTGTTGGGGGAATGGTCCACCTCTATGCCTCCCATCCAGGCTGCCTAAGTAAAGGCCTTGGTCCCAGAGTATTCCCCAATAAGGAGGCTGGGAATTGGGTCAACTTCTCTCTCCTAGTTCCTTTTCCTTATCAGAGAAGTCTTCCCCCTGTTCTGGGCACAAAGTAACTTTCTCTGTCTCTTGCACATGCGCAAGCACTACATGGCACCTGGCCAACCCCACTTCTATATCTGTTCCTAGTGGGAAGGGTATGGGGTCT